GCCTCTCGTCCACGGCTGACTAACGTACTTGGGCTATTCGTATGAATCGGCCGTTTTGTTGAAGGGCTGCTATTCGAGAGCGGGGCGGCATCGTCGTTAACATTAAATGTTAACGTAGATGGCTGGTTAAATTGCTTACGACGAATAACGGGGGTGATCAACCCTTCGTTGATAGTCTGAAAAAAAGAATTAAATTCTGAAATCAAGTTCAATAACGCACTGTAGTGTCAAAAAAACGAGTTTGAAAAACGAGTAAGTCCCAGTAAAGGGAAAATAGATAGAAAAGCTCACCGACAGTTCTCCGTCACCGTTTCGTCCCAGCTTTTCTTTGAGCGCTTTTGCTGACTGGATGACAACGCTTGACGGTTCTGGTGATAGATTCGGCACTGACATCCGATGTTCTCGCTGAGAAGCACGTGATGTATACCGTGGAACTTCTTCACTGTTTCGCTTTTCGGAGTCACAACTGTTTCGCTGTCTATAAAAGCGTAAACTTAAAGCATATTTCCTGAACTACCGTTATTTAGCCAAATGATTAGAACAATTTTCAAGAAAGAGCTCGAAGAAAATCTCGGAATCAATTGACTGGGCGAATACCGCTGGTGGAGAAATGCACGATACCAAAAGGGGACAGCCTCAGATCCCCAAAAAACGACCAACATCGCATTCCATATCGACCCGAATGTCGAAAATCTCTGATGTAGTTTCACGAAACTATTCATCTTTCATTCCTTTACATACGAGTACTCCAGTCGCTTATCATAGGAAGTACGTTGCGCGCAAAAGTAGTCAGAACTACTCGGGAATCACTATTACGAGAAATTTACTGGTAATATTACTGGGTCGTTCCACAAGAACGTTTTTTCTCCCTCGAAATTTCGCGCTGAAGTTGTAATGTTCTGCCATTGAGTTCCACCGTTTTGCAGAAAATTCCTTGCTCTATGATATAGCCCTCTTACGTTTTTCGAAGACTTCGTTTCCACTGATTTCTAAGTGCTCAAACTGGAAAGTCAGTCGACGAAATTAAGCATTTACGACCGTTCTTTCACAT